ATTCGTTACGAACGCATTCTGTATTCTATACGCGACGCGCTGTCGATTTGACTCAGTTACGGTACGCTCAAGTGGAAAATTGCAGTTGATGAAAGGACGTTTCATCGCGAAAGCGGAACGAAACCAAAGTAAACGAGAAGCGGCGAACAGATTTTTCTCGAATCGCGGAGCGCGAATGGAGACTTAACTGGCGATAGTGCAAATGTGTTAGCGTTTACTCGCTCGCGTCTTTCAACGATGGGGAACGGTAGTAGAAACATTGACGCGCGCAGCGATGCGACGGCGGAAGCATACGAAGACGTCGACAAGGAAATTGGACATTCTCCTAACGTCGACGACGAGTCCGCGAGTCAACGTATTTTAATTCTTCTGAAAGTTTCTAGCTTTTCAAAGCGTTCCGCGTCCCATGGCGTACCGACTTTACGTAAGCTCTCGGGAGATCGCTTAACCGAATAGCAGCCAGTTAGCTCGAGATTATTTAATTCCTCGCCCCCCTCTCCGCCGCCCGCCTTCGCAATTTTCTCTATTTTTGTCTCGGCAGTTGCGTGTCGGCGAGATTAAATCTAGATGGCGTGCCTAATAAATGCAGATAATCGTGGAATTTTCACGTCGCCCGATTTTTAAAAGTATAAACGCCTTTTAGCTAGTTCGCCGGTCGCGTCGATTAACTTTTACGAACCATATGACACGAAAGTGGAAATAAGCAAACTCCGGCAGCTTGATACTTTTGCCGGCGAACTTGTACGGTGAAAATAATTCCACGAGATTCCAAGAGAATGACGATTAATCGTTCGTTGTTTTCCAGGTGGTATAGCATCATGTTTAAGAAATTTTCGAACCGACTTTCTGGAGGAGTGGCCGACCCCTGGAACGGGACCTCATTTCGACACCTCCATGCAATCAAACTTTACCGGATTGGTGGGGAAAGAAGTGAATCTAATCTGCAAAGTGAAAAACCTCGGAAATCGAACGGTGAGTTTCAATGGATTTCCCCTGCTATCGAACAACCAACCGCGGATCTCGTAGATCGCGACCCTTCGGGATCCCGATTCAACCGGGAGCCCGTTAAATGAATGAACGGCGAATGAAGTTTTTCATTTTTCCCTGAAAGATCGAAGAGAAAGGGTCCCATTCGAAATTATTTTTCTCCTGGCACGGCAGCTTATTCGCGGTCGTCCCCTCTCGAGCGAGCTCGAGTTCGTTTGTTCTGCGGATTGATCGAATCTCTCAAAGGAGTGCTCGATAAAGTTCGACAAATAGGATCCTCCAAGGAAGATAGAATTTCTGAATGGCGGATAATGTTCTCGAAGGCAAACGATCCGGTTAGTTAACCGGGCAACCCGGATTTCTTCGTTATTTCGAATTACGAGACCATTTCGGTTCACCCCGGGAAGTTTGATTCTAGATTACCGTCGGCATGTAAATACGAATTCAAAGGTTGATCTGTTTGGACGCGCGGTCTCGCATTTATAAACGATCGTTGGAAGGTGGAACAGTCGGTCGGCCGCTTACAAAGGCGACGGGCGCATAGTCGAGGCGTGTTCCGTCGGAGCAGCCGACAACACGCCGTCGATACACCGTCAACGATAATAGCGGTCTCATTAGTAGGCGTATAAAGACTGCGAGCTAATCAACGGTAGTTTCACTTCGGCTTAAAGCTTCTCAATGGGAGCAATCGCAATTTTCTCGGGTTGAATACCGTGAAAGCCAAGGTTTCGAACGCGTACTAAAAGTATTTCATCGTCGCTCGCTCGTTTCCCGCGAATTCCTGAAATCAATTTGGCCAACTTCGAATCCCCGATTTTTCGCGAAACTTTTCGAATACCTTCCG